TCTGACTGTTCAAGTTGAGCCTGGCATTAACTAACCAAAAGATACGATGTTGATCTTATGATGAACTTGAAATTACAGCTGCTCAATTTGCATAACATAATAAGATATTTATTGAGAAATGAAAAGGTTGTAGTTGAAACATAATAAATGGATAAATAAACAAATGAACAACAAGAAATAAATGGATAAATTGGCAAATATGAGAATAAATGCACGAGTAAATAAATGCTATGCCTATATTTTTGGTATATTTTAAAGAATATTTATTAACTGAATCACTCATTTTTTTAAATTTTTTTAGTTCTAATCTTGGCAGTTTTGGTCTTCCATATAGGTAAAAAAAACAAAAAAAACTTTCCCCATTCCACAGTCAATAACAAATTCAAACAAGTGATACACAGGTCATATTATGGCTCAGTCACACAACTATAACCTCATTGCGACTGGGAGAAATGAATAATTGCCCGGGAGCTGCACTGAATTTTTCACATTCGCCAACCAATTGCAAGCATTTGTGGTGACAAACTGGGGAGATCGAGAGTGCAACGCCCCTACGTCTGTGCAACCAATCCCAATTGTAACTGCCGAGGTCGCCCGCCGGGAGAAAACCTGTTTTTAAACGGTTGTTGTCCAATTCAAGACTGACTGCCAGACAAACAGAAAAAGGTTTGCAAATAATTGTCCGTTTAGAAATGCAGACAAATTACCAACATGTTGCAATCTATCTGAGCCAGTTTGTTTTGTTTTCAACAGAGAACTCAAACAACTGGCTTTCAATTGACTGCATTTTGTTAAATTACTGTGTAATTTTCAGTAAAAATTGCTGTCCTGCAGCAATTACGTCACCATTTCTGAACTTGTATTTCAGATCTTTGAGGTTCTGGCTGGATTCTTAATCTAAGCAGTGATGTTCTGTGTCTGTAGATAGCAACAGATTTGCAGTTTTCACTGATTTATCTTAGCTGATTGCTTTATTATCACAAACACATTGCGTTTAATTTCCAACTTGACCATATTCAGTGACAGACTGATAGAAGACTGACTCCATCTTGTTGCTGGTTCGTCAATATCTTTGTTCTTGGCACACCACAGTGGCTTTGAAGACAGCGACTGACTGTGAGTGGTTGCAGGCTTGGTCTGCACCTTTTGAAGGAACCATTTCAAAAGCAAGTTCATTGCACACGGTTCACAAGCTTCATTCAAAGTGATATGAAAAACTGAAGCGTTTTGATAAAAAAGTACATCCAATTAGCTTCTGTGACCTCTTCATCTCTCACGACATGTATCGAAACAAACCCTGGAGGACATCAGTAATTATAGGTTTGACGTTGCTTAAAATGAAGCTAAGATATTTGGAATAGCAGGATTTCTGTATATAAGGTTCATTTTCTACTTAAAAATACAGATATATATATTTTTTAAGACAAAACATTTTGTTTTTTAAACTCACATCTCCCATTTTTTCAGATTTCCTTCTCCACACAAAGACTTTTACACATCCACAGAACAAACCCATACACTAATACGCTGGTATATTTCTCTTTAGTTTTTTTGGTGCTTTCGGAGCAAAGAGCTCCCATTTCTACATTTGGACTATCATAACCCTGTGGCTCCATTTCTCTTTTATACAAAATATATAATAGAAATGTTTAAAACCATCACCGACAATCCACAATCCCTATACCTACAGTAGGCTCTGTGTTGAATAAAAAAAAAAAGGTTCTTTCAAACAATCATTTATCACGTAATGTTTAGAACACACGTTGATACAAATAAAGAGGAAAACATGACTGAGGAATCAGAAGAGCACTGACATGTTAAAAAAAGGGACATGGTGTAGAAATTGATGTTTTTGTTGTCTAACATGGGGGCGGGGCAGTATAACTGGCCAAAAAACCCAGTTTCCTGCTACAGCGATACCAGGTGTTTCTTATAACTGCTACCTCTGTTCTTGCCGGTCATGTGTGTTCATAGTAGTTATAGGCACATGTCAGTGTGTGGCACTCTTTAATT